AATAAATAAATACTTTTATTTTATTTTTAATTGTTGCGACATGTGTTTCAGTAGTTTTTATTCTTTAGAGAAAATAAGTGTAAAAATAATTTTAATCAATTATTAAATCAGTGCAATATTTAGTATTTGAGCCGCGATGGCTCAGGGGATAGAGCGTTCGTCTTCCTATGACGTGAACTGGGTTCGAATCCAGCTATGGCTTGTCAATACGAATTCCTCATACGGCTTGCACCGAACACAGTGCTGACTTAAAAATATCCTCAATGGTAGACGGATCATGGGTTAGAGTCCCCTTGCCGTCAGGCTAACCGTGGGAGGTTTTCGTTGTCTTCCTGTCTATGTAGCGCAAATGCGGGTTAGTTCCATCAAAAATTGCTCCACTAAGGCAAATTTCTCCCAATACTTGAAACAGGAATTCCCTTGTCTTCTGGATTGGGTTCAAAATTACAAGGCTACGTAGTTGAACATGAGTTGTCATAAACCCAAATATTGGATCGGCTGTTCATCGACGCTTATAAAATATTTAGCATTTTTAATTTTGAAATTAGAATCCAAAAATTAAATTTAAAATAAAAATATAGATTATTTTAAAAATAAGTAGGGACTCATGAACTTCTAAGGCAGTTCACTTCAGATTGCCTCTCTCGATCCTTTCACTTTGTTCATTCGCACTGAAATAAATGCATTGCCCATAGAGCAGAAAAAATTAACGATATTGGAGTAGTATTGATATTAAGTTCGGAATAACATTTTACAATTTTATATTGCTGGAAAACTAATCAGAAATTTAAACAATGAAAGCTAGTCGCGTTTTTCATCTACAGACAAAGTAAGTAGTTGCTATGCTAACAGTTCATTTTAAACTAAACTAAACTGTGCAAAAAAAAAAAAAAAAAAATGAAATAACTCAAATTAAATGAAATAACTCAAAAACAAATATCCACATCAATGATTTAATATCGGAATGCTCCTTTAACAATTCTTTAAAAATGTTCAATATTTTAGATAGTTTTATCTAATAGTTTTTACGTTAAGACAGGAAAAAACATGTTCTGTTGAAATGTTTTAAAACTGCGACGGTTAGCGACAACGTCAGTAATCTTTTAAATTAGAATTAGAATTATCTTCTTCTTAGCGAAGTTTTGATTATAAAGTGAAATATTGATGGAACACATGATTCATGATTATGGAGTCTTTGCAGTATCCAAAAATCCCCCCCCCCCCATCTTCTTATGCGATATAAATTAATAGATCTTTACATTTTTATTCTTTAACGTGAACTGTGTTTAATGTTTAGTTCTTGATAAAATGGGACCTTGTTTATGCACCGATAATATAAATACTGTGGCCTGTTTCGCTTAACTTTGACCCAATTGCATCTTCTTCTTCTTTTTTTTTTTTGTTGAAGGTTTTAGCTTCCTATACTTTCAAATAAGTAGCATCGAATTTTCTTTCAATAAAGACATTTATTTTTATTCATTTTTAACAATATTTTCACCTACATTTTTAAACAGTATTTTTGCATTCTATTTTTTAAATTCATTTTTAAAAAATTTTTTTTGCATTCATTTTTATATATTTTTATTCAGTTTATATATTTTTATTCAGTTTTTATATATTTTTATTCATTTTTCTTTATATTTATTTTTAAACAATATTTTTTACATTCATTTATAAACAATTTATTTTAAATTCATTTAAACAATATTTTTTACATTCATTTTTTAACATTATTTAAGAAAATTCTTTTATACACAATAAATAATTTTTATGCCTGAGTATTGTTTTAAAGTTCAGTTAATAATTAATTTTTTTTATCTTAAATAAGTTAATATATAATTAATAGTACTCAATTATTTTTGTTACATGCTATAGATTTTTTTAAAAGAGGTATACGTTAGCCTAGATAAAGAAAGAATTTAATTTAGTAAAGTTTCTGATTAATTTAGTGAAGAAGAAAGATATATTGCCATCATTTAATAGCAAATCATTGTTTAATAATTCTTTTATTAAATTATGTCATTTAAAAAAGACCGACACTTGGCGATTTTTATGAATAGCATCTTTTCATGTTTTTTCCCTTCCGTGCGTAGTAATTGATATAACGAGTAAAATGAGAAAAAAAAATAATGAGAAAAGAAAGGAAATAAACGTACAAATTAGTAAAAGCGTCTTTTATTTAATTAATAAAGAAAGCTTAACTTGTAATTTGTGGTATGGTTCTGTTTTTTTTTTTTTAATTNTTTTTTTTTTTTTTTTTTTTTAAATAATAGCTTTTTTTTTTGCTTACGCAGGCATATTTTCTAGGGAAAAAAATTGAGTTTTAGAAAGATTTGGTTTATTATAATCTCAACATGCTAATCCTGTTTATTTGAACTTCAACAATGTCCGAACAATATCGGTCATTATGGAAATTATGTGTTGAATGACCCTCCTAAACTTGTGCTCTTTTAATGCAGTACATGGCATTTCATTGTTCATGTTTACTCATCATTCTTTTGTAGAGCAGTAGCCCGAATCGAACTTTGCCTTTAAATTGAGCTTTTATTTTGATAAATAGCTATTATGGCTATTACGATGAAAAACTGAATGAGGTTTTCCGTTTTTTTCTTCTTATAACAAAAGCTCTAGTGATTTTGGTATGTTGTGAATCATTATAATAATGTGATGCCAATGACACTAATTGACAAATATTACGATTCTGATCTCAGTTAAGTATATGTATGTATATGTCCAGTTAAGTATGTCCAGTTAAGTATGTTAAGTAGCTTATTATATTGTTGAAGTTCATTTAGTTTGGAAAAACAATGTTATTTGCTTTAAGTTAGAGTAAAACGCATTATTTTAAATCAGTTGATTTATTTGATTCAATACGTGTGAATTTTATGACGTTGTAGTTAAAAACGTTTTATTACGAGTTGTGTTTTTTGACATTTTTTTGTGACTTATTTGTTGATTGCTGCACTGTTTACAAAGAAGTTTACGGAATTGACTTTTATGATCCTCTTTCAAAATAACGCATTATAGTAATTAACACTAGAAAGACTGAAACTTAGCATGTATCTATATTGCCCAAAAGCAGCCAAAATGACTGTATTGTGAAAGAATAACTAATGTATAAAAAAATTTGTTATTTTTTAATATTTTTTTATATTATTTAAAATTATATAACAAGTTATTTGTAAATATTAACAATAAAAAAAATTTGCATTTTTATTTGTACTTTTTTTGCAAATGAAAAAGCAGTCAAAATGACTTCCCTGGGCAATCTAGTGTTCCAAAAATATCGTTTGGTTTTAATGAAATTTTTGATTCGTATTAAAAATTTAAGGAATATCGTTTTATTTAAAATGGGTATTTGCAACTCGAAAAAAAGTGATTATGCATACATAGCCTTATTTGCTTCATAGCTTTAATTGGATAACTGTAAGCGACGTCACGCGCGTGTGTAAAACCTGATTGGCTTCTAAATCGTCAAATGCCACGATTTGCCTACAATGATGTCACTTGCAGGCTATCTCTAGATGGACTTTTATCATTTGATAAATAATAAATTATTATCGTTTGTATTAGTTGAGTTAAAATATAGTATGAACTCTTTTTTGATGAAGAAAAAACACTTATAACTGTAGTCAATCGTCTTGTTACGGGAGACGGAGTAGGCTCGTTTTCTCAAATTGATTGTATTACATTAATTAATCTGTAGTGCATATAACATTGGCTCTACGTTTAAAGAGGAACATGTCTTTGGTAAAAATGTTATACTGCCTATGAAAAAAAATTTCGCAAGACTTTTCTTCGTTTCAGTAACCAATAAGTATTAGTGAAGGAATTTTGACAATACAAGTATTTCATAATCCAATTTAAATATTTTGGCCTTAAGTCAACCTTTAATTCACATCAAATATAGAGTTATAAACTGCAAAATTATTCATTCTAGTAGAATTTAAACCATGACTACAGAGGGGCCCAAACTGCTAAACTTTTGTATCACATTCACCTATACCAGTGAAAGTAACTGTTCTAAAAAATTCCAATTATATCATTGAAATGTTTTAGACCTGTTCAGATAAGTTTTTTTTAAAAATCATTCCGTTTAAATATTTTTATAATTATGTTGTGATTTGAAAACCTAATTGAATATGCTTATTCGTTAAATATGTCAGAGAAAAACTTGTTTTAAGTAATCACTGGTATCTGCATTACACTATATTCTTGCACTTTCAGTTTTTTAAATTTATTTATTTTATTTTAAAAAACATAAAATAAAATAGTATGCCTTCTTAAATGAATAATCCCAAGAAATTTATAGGAAAGATATACTTGATTTTTGTTTGTAAGAATACTTAATCGGTTTCAAATATTTTTAGATTCAACAGGTTCGTTTAGCTTTAATGGTTAAAATTAACACCGTATATATATTTTTTTCTGTTTTATGTAATAAAGTTTAAAATAAAGATTTAGTTTTTATTAATTGTAATGACATGAATATTTATTAATTGTTTTATCATTACTGCAGAAGACTTAATGTCATCATCACTGCACTCAAAAATTAGTTTTGAAAGCACAATTTTGAAAAAAAATTTGCGAAAGCTTTTATTTCATTTACATTTTATTTCATCTCATTAACGTTCAAAAAGACAAGAAAACGCATATTTTTTTATACTTTTATTTGTGTTTTAAGTAATATGTTTTTTGTTAGAACAATATTTTCAAACATGTGTACCATCGAACTATTTAAAATGATAAATAATAAAAATCAATTATTTTTGAAAGTTTGTACTGGGCTTACAATTCTCCTTATTTAATATTTTTTAGATATCCGTATCTTTTAATTAAATACTTTGTTTTGGCAATGAAATATTTTTAAAAAAAATGCTTATTTTTAATGGTAAATGAAAATCATTCTTTCATTTTTCATATTGGAGGGGAGGACTTAATGAATTTTAATTGTCGCCGTCCGCTGTCAACCCTTGGTCGCCTTTTCGGAAAAATCCTGTTATCACCCCCAATAACAGTATAATGTGACAAATTGGTATTTGAAATAGACATCCTTAATAGTATGATATCATCATTTAAAATATGCATCGTTACACGCTTTTGTTTATTTATTTAATTTTTTTTTGCTGTCAAACGTGATAAAGATTAAAAGACAAACGAATGAATCACTAGTTTTATAAAGAGTGCCAATCATAATTTCTCCCACATAAATATCGGCATGCCACAATTCCAAAAAGAGGACTATTTATCTTTACATGGCCTGATACACAGTAAACTGACTCAACCCATTCTCTCTTTGTTTAGTTTTCTTTTCTCACTACCTTATCTAAAAGATATATCAGAGTTTAGAGTTTCTTTACATAATCCAGAACATAAACCATAAACGAGTCGATTTAACCGTAAGCATTAGAGTGGCGTGACTTTCGCGAACACAGAAGGAAAAGTAGAAAAGAGTAAAAAAAAATAAATACATTCATTGCCTATGATCCTTGCCCTACTCTATCCTTGGGTGGAATTAAATTCTGCACGCCTGCGGCGTTTGGAATCAAGCCAGCCAGCAGCTCAACCATGCAATTATTCTCTAATTCTAAAACATACCACAGCAACCTGTTGAATGTGCAGAGCGGCGTCACAACTTCAGTGTCTACCTTTGTATCGTATTTGCTTGAGAGTGTCTTGTTAAGTATGCGTCGCCAGGTGGTGGAAGCTCGACGCGCTCTGGTCAACCTGGTCGGCCGACCGCCCATGTATGAACTCTTGGCTAGAGTTCATAGGTATGCGGCCGCGGACAAGATTCTTGTGTTGTGGTCAACTTCTGACTGGAAGTGGGAACTGTTGGATTATGTTTGGAAAATAGCTTGCGATGAAGCTTCTTTTATGAAGTTGGAAAGCATGGTTAGAGGGAAATGTTTAACTTATTTAGCTGACCAAGTTCACCATGCTGTTATAGATATTTGCCCTTTGTGTAAGCTTGAAAAGTAAGTAAATTTCTTTTTTAAATTATATGTTGATATAACAAATAGTTTTATGTTATTATTAACTGATAACATCCTGTTATATGTTAGTATAACATGTTTTATTTGTTATATTAGCTAATGCAGAATAACTAGCGTATAACAAGGTATTTTGTTTTACGCATTTAATTTAATTTATAGTATTTTATTTACATGCTATGGGTAGCATCAGCAAATAACAGAATGTTCTGTGTTGCATGTTGTTATAACATGTAACAATGTGTGGAATTATTAAATTACATATTAATCATCAGGGGTCTGTTTAGAAGAAATTTGGGTCTTTTAACGGACCTTTCACAAAATTTCTTTCCATAAAGCCGTACAAAAATTCACAAAATATTTTAACTTAAAAACGGACCTTCCACAAAATAATTTATCTTTTGATCGGAGCTTACGCAAATTTGTTTATCTTCATTATTGTTTTGTTAATCGAATAAACCCTTCCCAGGGAGGTGGAGGTGAAGAAAGACAGATGTAAACGAACAAAGTTTTGTCTTCGGCAGACGCATCTTCCTTTATTCGTCCGAAATGAATATTCTGCGTTCAGCAGCATAGGCTAAATACCAAATATTTGTATGTTGCATTTCTAATTTACTAGCAACAATTACTGTTTATTTTTTAAAATTTAATTTTTTTTATTATAATTTTACAGTGTTGTGCATAATCTTGTATCTCTTTACAATTTAAAAACTCCTTGAAAAAAGTTTTTTACAATAACAGGACCCTATTTGCACAAATTCACAAAAGCAGGAACCTGGTTGAAAGAATGTGATTTAACGTTTATTTTGTATTCACAAATTACGAGTAATTTTTTCACAATTTTACAAAAACGGACCTTTTACAAAATGTCTGGACAGACCCCTGATTTATTTATACAGAATTAGTAGCTCTTAAAATAATTTTATTTTCAATATTTTTTCCTATGTGGTATTTTTCAAGCATGATCTTATTAGAGTTTTGCCCGATAAATTCTTATCCTGAATATGAGTTTTGTTCCTCTTTTCTTCTTTTTAGAACCTCATACAATTTTTAAGTGAAATAAAATTCTTGCACTTTAATTCCAAAATAATTTCGTCTATAATATGCATACAATTGAAGATGTCAATATTGAATTGCTCTTATAGGTGACCGTAAGTGTGTAGTACAGCCAATGTTCATTTTTGATGAACGGTTATGTAATTAGTAAAAAAGAATCACGACTGTCAATATCCAAAATAAATAAATCAAAAAACTAGACAAAAAACAATTAAAAATTAATTTCATAGATTTTGGAATTGTGATTTTGATTGTCCTTATGTAAAGTCACGGATATCGTGCCGTGTTAATAGAATTACTTATAATTTGAAGATAATGTTTGTAGTTTATAACACAAATGCTACAAACTAAAGCGGGCAATTCAAACTTTCAAAGGTTGCACCAGCGAGAGGGCAAAAGGTTTTGCCCTGGGTTTTGACCCACCTGACTTGTCTGATCAGTACTCCAACTCTGAAAACCTTATTTTTTCTTTATTGTCTGTTTTGTGAAAGCTTGTCGTTTCTTGTTCATTGCTCTTATAAGCAATCGTTTTCATTTCCCCATTTTTTTAGTTAAGCAGCCATACGTCATATGTTGTTTGCATTGATAAAACTTGAATAATCTAAAGCTTAAGGAAAGATGTTTAAGAAATTAGCCCTTGAACTCATGGCATTGAAAATGAACTCCATTACTTTTCAAAGAGCTTGTTCATCAAGGTTTATATTTAGTTCAATATCGTACCATGCAGATTAAATTGAGTAAAATAATTGTTTGCGTGTTTTAAATATATTCTTTTCCAGAAATGTCTTTTACTTTTGTACTTTAATCTATTGGCATGTTTTTGCTAGTTTTTTTGTTGTTATTTTTCTTTGGTATATATTTTGTATTGCCTTTTCTTATACAGATTTAAAATATAGCAGAGCTTTTTATTTTTAAAAAAAAAAATATCAGTGATTCTTATAGTTAATATACATGAAAGAATAGGTTATATGTAGAATTTACTGTAAAAAATATGAGCTAAATGTAGAAAGTTTTATATTTAGTTACTACACTTTTATTTTAAATCGTTATTACAAATACCAAATCTTATTTTTACTCAAGTTTAATGAAGAGAAAAAAAAAATTTTTTTTTCGATTTTTAATCGATACTGCGAAGACATAAGCTCACATTATCATTTACTCAGAGGGGATTGCTTTAAATTATATGCAAAAGTGATTACCAGCTAAGGTTCATTCTACTTTCTCTCACCCATCTCCAGAAAAATTTTTTTAAAAGTAAATAATATAACTGCTATTAAATTTAAGAGTCACTTTTATATTTATTAAGAATTGCCGTTAATCTTGCCTTCAACGGTTTTGTTACTGAAAAAATTTAGTGAGGGATTTAATTGTGTTGCTTGTGAATTTATTTATTTATTTTTTTTTTTTTACTACCTACATTTTATTTTTAACTTATTTTATGAGCAGTATTTTAATGGATTTAATTTCTGAGCACTGGTTTATTTTTTAACCTTTTTTTTTATGTGATTAGGTGAAAATACACAAATAAAACAAAATCCATCATAATATCTGCTGTTTCAAAAATTGTCTAGATAAAAAATGAAAATTGTATTTGTTACTGACTTATGAAAATTTTTTTCACTTCATTGACTCATTTTTAGAATTTAAATTTTAAAATTTTAAACTTTATATCTGTATATTAAAGGATTTAATTATCTGTATTGATTAAGTTTTATTCATTTTTATATGACGAAGGGAAATTCCATCAATATTATATATAGTTTATAATGTTTTTTTTTTTTTTTTTTTTTTTTTTTTAAATTTTTTGTAGAGACACTTTCATGTCTTGTTTTATTTTTTTACAAAAAGAAATTCATTGTTAAACATCCCTTGAAATCATCAAATCTAGCGGTTGCGTCATTATTTGTGCATGTATAAGTTAATTACTAATGTTAGAATTCATGTTAGAACTGAACATTGAAAAGAGGATACAGGATAAAGATAGTTAATAACATGATAATCGGACATTTCGACAATTGTGGCCGTAAGATCTTTCCTTTGAAAGTTATTGTACATTTTTAAACATAATTATAAAAAATCAAACAAAGTATTTTCTTCTAAAACTATATCCTAAGGCTTATTATTAAATTCTTACAGTCATAAAGTAAGATAGCAATCAGTATTGTATCCTGTGGCACGTGTATAACTTTGACCTTTCAATTTCTTCTGTCTTATTCAATGACAATATTTAAATGATCGCGGCTTATCATTTTATTCTATTCGCATTTAATTTTCAAGTCGGAGAAATATTTAAAGTTTTCTCAGAATCACGAAATTTTGAAAGAAAAGTTAGCAAACTGTTCATAGCTTATTACATATAATTCAAAAAGCGCTGAAATTTTTTTTGAAACATCAATTGCTAAAATATTTATGTATATTATTTTACCAGCCACAGCTAAGATTCGGACCTGGGTCGCCTCATTGGGGGGCGAACGCTCTACCCCCTAAGCCACCACGGTTCACTTGGTTATAATTTTACATTTTAGCATAACCGTCGTTGAACAGTCTATCCAATTTTTGAGTTTAAGATTACCAATGTTCAACTCCGTAGCCTTGTAATTTTGTAAATAACCTAGAAGACAAGGGAGCTGCTGGATTAATCATTGGTACTAACTAGCCTTCGTAAAGAACTTTTTTAATGGAACTAACACGCGTTTGCTTTACATGGAGGGGAAAACCTCGAAAACTACCCTCGGTTAACCGACTGCAAGGGGATTTTATTTACTCGACTGCAAGGGAATTTTATTTACTTATTAATTTACTCGAATCATCCTATATATTTAAGTAAATAAATACATATATTTATTAAACGTGTACAAGAAATCCCTAAAAATAAAATTGAATCTGTCACAAACATGACTCCCAATCATTTCATAAATCTGAGCTAATGAATAATTAAAAAAAAAAAAAAACTGTGATGGAATCCTCATTTTTATTTTGAAAATCAGGAATAATATAAAACAAAAAGTGGTACCCTCACAACGAATGAACTTGAAATTCCCGAAACATTTTCAATTTTCCCAAAATTCCTGTTTAGTTCATTACCCCGGCTAATTCCCTTTATTTCAAAATTCGCGTTTTTATTATTTACTTATTTATTTATTTTTGTATAATTTCATTCTCAGAAGGTGTTACATTTGTATGCGGTTCTTGCTCTGATCGAAGCATTGACATTGTACTCAGTAAAAAAAGCACTTTTTTTGTAATGCTATTGAACACAAAGAAAACTTGTTACATTTGTACTTGGTTTTTACACTTACAAAAGAAGGCTGGTGTTAATTCGTAACTGATTTTTGCACTAAGCGAAACGTCTATTTTGTCAATATTCGAAAAAGCGCCTTTTTTTACTATTATTATAATTAAAAATTTGTACTACTTACAAGTTTTTGCACCAAGTTTTTCAATTATTTTAACTTTCTTTTATAAAACATTTTTCTTAAAATACTTTTCAAAATAGGCATAATATAATAATTTCAATACTTTCCGGGAAATATCTAAGATAACAATAAGGATAATTGACTATGTTAAAAGATTTTAATTAAAAAAGAGTTCACATTTAAATTTTTACCTTTACTGTTTGTGTTTTTAGAACCTAATTTGAATATTTTTTTTTGTTTGTTGTTCATTTTTATTAAGTTTCCTCTTGGCTAGTTTGGTGATTAAATATATTTAATTTTCTTATTGCTGACGCGTACATTTTTTTTATATCTTTATTTTATAGCTTATTAAAGAGTTTTATTTAAGGAAAATATGTCACACACAAAAACAAATTAACTATTAAAATATTATTTCTGCAAATAAATCATTCTAGTATCATAACACAACAAGGATTTACAACTTCATATATTATCTAAATAATCTAATTGTAGTGTCGTAATTTGTTTTGTCGT